TGACCTAATAATTTAGGGCTTCTCTTTTGACAAAATATCGTAAAGTTTTATTACTATGTCAGATTAATCCATGCCAAAGTTTACTATAATACTTTGCTATGCACAAGCCTGCACAGTCAATTAAAGTTCAAGTTTGCATTTTACAAGTCAGTACAGAATGCTGAGCTGCCCAGAATATTAATAAAATAGGCTTCTGTGAACAAAGAAGATGTTAGTCTTATTAATTTAGCCAAACTCTTTAAGGCTTTCCTATTTTATCCTTTGAAAAGTGGATCGTGGACAGTGGCTAGCCGTAAATAATTATATTTCACAATTACGCCAATTTTGGTTAAGGGAAATTCACCGACATTTTAGGGCATACTCAAATCATTTTTGGGAAAATTCTACTTGCAATCTCATTAGGTTATTCGACTTAGGGTACCATCACTGCTTATTTAAGATCTCATGATAGTCTTGAAACTATTAAGAATGAATATAAAAGTTTAATTAGTATGTCAGACCAGCTCTGATTAAATTCAATCCTTCTACTGATTTGCTATTTTTATGCTACTTATCCTGTATCTTAAATTAACCGTTTGGCCAGCTCTAATGTTTGAGTACATTCATCTTTATTCTATTATTTTAAACTATTTTGTAAAAGTAAAGAATGCTCTTATTTTATCTCGATTTACTGAATTTTAGTTTCCTCATACTTGATGTGCACAAGCCTTTATCCGAGTCCCACCTTTTGTTTACTGCCATTTCCTCTCTCATTTCATATACTTTTCTTTTTTGCAACTTGTTAGGCGCCTTCGCTTTTTAGTCAGCTATCCTCACGTCTATGCAATATTGTCGGTCGCTACGTAGTCTGTTTCTGTCCGCCCTGGTTTCGCAGTCTGCAATCTATTCTTCATCTCATCATTCTCGACCCGTTTGCTGAGCTCTTCATCACAATCTGCATTATCGCCAACACTCTGCTTATGGCCCTTGACAGTCCAGACAATAGCGATGATTTTGCGCTCTTCCTAAAAGTGGCCAACTACGTAGGCTGATATAATTATTTAAGCATTAAAGTTACATTTTCGTGGTATAACTTCATGATAGGTTAACTCATTATATTAGATTGAGATGACATTTTGCCTGATTTTGTAGACAGGAATTATACTATGGATTTAGATTAGGCAGTTCTGGATAGCAGAGCAAGCTCTCTGAAGGGAAAATCGGCTGTCAAATAAAATAAAATAAAGCAGCCAATGTTAGTTGACAAAAAGTAATTTTTTACTTAATTTCGGCTTTACTTTACCGATAACTAAATAGCATTACAGGTTTAATATTTACCCGTAAATTTAGGAAGTGAATGCATGAAGACGGTATACATTTTAGAGCTTCTTCACATATTACTATAGCTCCCGCATTAACTATACTAATCAAAGCATACGATATATATTTATAAACTTGCCGAATCGAATTCAGATATTCGAGACTGTCTACTCATCTTGAATGCTGCATTTTGTCAAAAGTAACCGATCTCTCTTAACCTTTCTCCAACTTAACTATCCTGATTGCTATGGCTTTCATTGCGAACATTTCTGGTCCTGATAATTAATTGAGTTACATGGACCATCTCAATAAATTTTCCTATTATTATTTATTTTTATCTGACCACAACTTTTGAATACTTCCCTAAAATACGAATGCCTTTGTCTACGCTTCATGGAGGCGAGAGCACAACTTTAGGTAACTTGTTAGATTGTGTTGGGATGGAGGAGCATGAGAATCCTGGTTTTTAGGTTACAATTAGAAGAGAGATATTTTTATTAGCTTGGCTAGCCCAGGTGAATACGATAAGTAGGTAAAACTCTCGCCCAGATGTCAAAGATTCTAATTGCCCGAATTGGCTTTTCAGAGGTTAACCTATCGCAAATGTAAGGCCGTTTGGTCAGAAGGACTGCAAAGTGCAATGACAAATATACTAAAGCGGAAATTAAGGATGTTGCTGAAAATGTTTATTATTATAGCCCTGTATGGCCACTTTCATGTGCCTCTAGATAAAATAGTATAATATTTTTTTTGATAAATTAGTCTAAACCATTGAAATTATTCTTTATATTATTTGCGTTTAGCGAAATAAAGCATTATGGATGCGTTTATGCATATTGTTTCCCCTTACCACGAGCAGACTTTATCACGTACTCTTATTAAAGTTCAATCATATCCTTTATTTGCCTAAGATAGAATATCTAAATAATCTGTCCTTCGGAGTAGTTAATCATGCATGGGAGCAAATGAATCAGAACATTAACATGATTATATAAAAATGTGTATGGAATAGTATAGAAGCCAAATAACCAGCAGCGGTCTCGTCAAAATTAAAAGCTTTTTTCTATGTTAAATTAACCCGGTTTATTTGAATGGATGAACTGCTGGCTTTGGTTCTAGTCTCAAGTAATTTGGGTCCCCATACGTTCCGACAAGTTCCAGCAAGTGTTATAGAACATGAGATTATTAAAAGCCCGTAGGCTGCATAAAACTCTAAAAATAATATGGGCTTTGCTAAAGAGCCTGCGAAAGGTAGGACTAACTTTAAACCAACTTTGAAAACATCAATGATGAAAGCTCACAAAAGTTATAGTATTTGGCGAAGCATGTGGTGGTTTATTTAATGAAAATTCAGTAAAATTAGTTAAAAGCAAATAAATAGCGCATAGATTATAAAGTACACATGGTAATTCAATAGTGATATATTGTGACCTGACTTTCCATTTCGAAGGAAAAGTTGGTTGGAGGGAATTTGTGATGCATAAAACATCATGATTAATATGTACCCAAACAATTGTGCAAAACTTGAAAGTTTTCGCTTACGAACTCTTACAACTTTATAAAATTTCTTTATGATCAGACGATAAAAAGATGGGATATGCTGTTAACTTTCGATATAGTGTCTATGTACACTAACATTCCAAAGGCTTTGGAATTAACTCTAAATCAACACCCTGAAATCATAAAAGGTGAAAAGTAAGGCAAGGTTTTGAGGATTTGGTAAGTAAATTTGGTCATGTGTAATACATATTGTACCTTCAATAGAAAATTTAGTGCGCAGACACGGTGCTTGGCCCCTATTTTAGCTAATAAATGAATGGCCCTATAAAAAAGTTCGTATTTTAAGAAGTACTCCTGGTTTACAAGTAATCAATTCATTATATGGATGATTACTTTGCTATTTGGCAACTCGGTAAAGATAATTTTGGAAAATTATTTGAGCTAATAAATAGAATAGATGTAAATACTAAGTTTACCAAAGAGTTAGAAAAGGAGAATATATTGTCTTTTTTGGATGCATTAGTAAACAAACAATATAATAAGTTTAGTAGAGACGTATATGGGAAAATCACACACGCAGATTGCCGTATTAATTTCTTCCAAACATATATATATATATATATGGAGGAGTTATAAAGTCTGTGATAATAAGGATTCTGTGTCCATCAGATTTAAGCCACAAGGAGATCGCTAGATTGAGACATATACTATTTTAAAACAATTAGCCATTAGGATTAGTAGACAATTACTTATTAATTGTCATCGACACGATGAAGGGCAGGATGGACAATTAGAGCATTCTACTCGTTTTCTGACTTCTCCTTCCTGCCAGCTTGCGAAAAAGTTGGGTGATCTACTGAGGAAGTAGAACAAAAAACAATGTATAAAGAGAAATTAACAGTTTATTTGGTATAGAATTTTCAGATCCTCTTCCTACATCAGACTGCTACAAGGTTGTGTGCTCATCAGGTAAGGTCTATCTGTGGAAGACCTGCCGACCCATCCAGAAGAGACTATGCGAACACAAGACCGATTGTAAAGGTCTTTGGATCCAGAAATCTGTGCTCGCTAAACACATTTTACAAATACAGGACACTCAATAGAATGCTCCAAAACACAACGTTTTGATGGTTAAGGGGACTTCACATCGAAGCGTAATATTAGGTAGAAATCAACAAAACAGCCAACCTCCTAAATAAAGGAAATGAGTGAAGAAAACTTAGTAGAAACTATTTGTGGCTGATGGATAGACTAAAGGAAAGGGAGAGAGAGAGAGGGCGAAGAGGAAGAGCCACTGAACAAGAGAAGAAAGGTGTATTAGCCTCGAGTCTAGCTAGGACTATCACACTTCCCATGACATGAACGTTACATGCACGCAATGAACACTAGCACAAGCTCAAACATGAATCTTGAAAACCAGCTCAAAACAAAATGCATGTAGAGTAAGGTTGAAGTAGCCAACCAAATCATGGGATACCTCATTAAAAGCGCGAAGCTAGATGTATGAAAAAGCGAATATCGTTGAAGCCGGCCACCTTTTCTCATGGTCTAGTATATTTTTGCTCTATTTCGTCAAGTATGGATACCTTCTGTGATGATGCCTGTCACAGTACAGACAAAAGCTTAACACAGTTTCGTTGGGGTTGCAGGATAGTGAGCCGAGGACCTCTTCGCACGATTAAGCAGTTTATGGTACGCGGAAATCCTGCTTTGACGAATTCCTGTCAACCAACTTTTCCTTAGAAATAGGAAGTTATGTTATAATTCCGTAGAATATTCAATTATCCTCACAATTCATCTATATAACCATTTAACATTTTCATATGAGTTAGAATAGACCGGAATTCAATGTCATATCTATTATAATGCTGTTGGCACATAAAAATTTTGCAATTATGTATGCTTAATCGAAGAAATGAAGAGCAAAAGCTTGTGTCCTTTGATATGGTAGCAGTCACCTTTCGACATTCATGAGTAGGCTAACTTGGTTTTCACAACTTGGTCGTGTTGTCAGGGCAACTTAATTAGGCACAACTTGTCCTAACTTCTAGTTATCATTATTTTCAGCTTCGGACCGTGGACTTGGTACATTCCTAGACGTTTCGTCGGCATAGTAGTCGGCATCGTCACTGAGCCCACTTTACCCTTCTAGCAATAACTTTTAGTAAATTACTTCGAGGAGTTAAGTTAACTAACGTAGCATTTGAGATTTTGGTAAGCTGCAACTAAATTTTGCTACAATCCGGCTTTCGTTCAATTAAACGCGTTGCCACAGAAATAGTTTCAATGTCTCTATTAAGCGTATCAACCTAAAAAAATCTAATTAGTGAACATTAAATCTTTTGTAAATAATTATATTTTTGCTGGTAAATGTAGTATGAGTAATAATTTTCAGCTAAAGTCGGCTGCATAAATAATGATGCAACTCCATAGACATTTTTATAAATGGAATTAAGCAAGCAATTAACTACCTTCCTAAATAAATGGCTAAATTACTAAGAAAACAAATATGAGCAGCTAGACGAATCTTCTTAATAACTTAAAAATCTATAGTAGTAGATTTGTTTTGCCTTAATTTAGGATGACTTGACATAAATTAGAAAAAGTAAAGCCTAAGCTGAGTATAAGTGCTATTAATTAATAAAAAATAGCTCAACTCCGAACGAATTTATAATGGATTTTAAAGACAACGTGCAATTGCTTTATAAAATATATATCGCTAAATAAAATATTACAAGATTTAACTCATAAATTTAGCTTGCATTTAAAATCCATTTACTTGTCTTCCACATTTCACTTCACCTATCCTTATATATAAATTCTTATTCATCCCTATATTTATGTCAGTATTTTACAGCAACTTTCGCTCTGGAATTCATATTGAAACTGATTGCACTTGGGCCAGTAGAATTCTTCAAGGAAGGCTGGAACAAATTCGATTGCGTAGTCGTGGTATTCAGTTTAATTGAAATTCCACTGGCCAACGTTGGCTTGTCGATCTTGCGAACGTTTCGCCTGGTAAGTGATTTAAGCAATATGTGCAACGAGTATAAAATATATTAAAATTACAAGCAAAGCTAAAATGCAATTTTGTGTTTGATATGACAATTATTGTTGAATGAAGCAAGAGTGCCTGTGAAATAAGGTGCGCACTGCACCAATCGCAGTTTTGGCGATAATATTCTCTAAATGAAATATATGGAATTTATTTTCGAGCAAATATCGAGAGTAA